GTGGTGGGGGCCTGCCGCAGCCCTCAGCCTCGGTGGGCAGCTCCTCAGCGTGGTTGTTGAGCCGGGCACTGTGGGCTTGCAGGAACTTGCGGGTCTTCTTGCTGCGGCGGGCGGCGGGGCGGGGGGGCAGCGGGGTGGGCGCCTCACCCTCGGGGAGGGTGGCGAAAGCCTCCAGGTAGCGGCGGGCACGCTCACAGTCGCCGTCATCAGGGCCGGGCACCTCCATCCCGCTGCCCTGCAGGATCTCCACGCAGGCGGCGATCACGCAGGGGATCTCCAGCAGCTGGGCGGCACGCAGCACCTCGCCCATGTTGGCGCTGCTGATGGTGAGCGTGGCCGTGTAGGCAAACTCCAGCAGTGCGCCCAGCGCCTCCGGCCCCACAAAGTCCAGCTCGCAGACCTCCTGCCCCGGCCCCGGCCCCGCGAAGAGCTTCTTGAAGTAGCGGCTGGAGGCGGCCAGGACGGCACGGTGGGTGCGGTACTCCAGCCCCTGCGTCTTGATGGTGACATCGCAGAGCAGCCCCAGCTGCCGCTGCTCATTCAAGCAGCTCAGCAGCTCGCTGCTGTGCTCGGGGAAGGGGATGCCAATGAGGTCGTCCTCCGGGCTGGCCATCGTCCTCACCTGTGGGAAGGACAGGATGCTCACCGACTGGCACGGGAACCAGCCAAAAGACAGCACTCAGAGGAATCGTCGCGGCCGAAGCATCGGCTCTGCCACAAAGCCGGGGTGCGAGGAAATCTCCATCGCACAGGGCTTGTTGGTGGTGGCACCTTGGACTGGGGTTTTGGTGGGACACCGAACTGGGGTAGGCTGGGGGCCTGGGGGCTGCCCTAATCCCTCTACACCCCATGCCGAGGTTGGCGGGCGGCAGGTCCCCCGCCGCAACCCCCGGCGTTTCCTCCGCCGCCAGCACCCAGCCGCCCGCGCCGCCCCCCACGACACCACAGCAAAGGGGGAAATCTCGGCGTGGTGCCTTTGAACGGCGCCGAGGCGCGGCGCTTCCTGCACCAGCCCACCCACCCCCCTGGCCCCCCGGCACGGCCAGGCGCAGCTGCTGGCTCCCGGCAGCCCCGTCCTGGGAACGCGGGCCTCGCCGGCGGCGGGGATGGGTGGGCGGGCGAGTGCCGGGAAGAGGGCCCCGAGGGCCGTGGGCCGCCCCGCGGAGCCCAGCCGGGCTGGGAACGGGGGCCACGCTTCCTGCCACCGCAGATTAGGATCAGCACCCGCGCCGCCGGTTCCTGCCCCCGCTCCTGGTGAGGGCCTGCCCCCTCCCTCCCCCTTTGCCCCAGCCTGGGGCCACTCCTTGCCCAGTCAAGCCCTGCCTGCGTGAGCCGGGCCTTTCCCACGCTGTGCCTGGCAGGGCTTGGCCTCAGCTGTAAACCCGGCACTGCTGGCAGTGGCACCCGGGGTCCCCATGGTGTTGCGCTGGGGACCCACACGTCCCCATGGAGCCAGTGCAGCTGGGCGATGGAGCCTGTAGGAAGAAGGAGCCTGCTGCCCTCCTGACCCACAGGCAGGCTACGGGCAGCAGTGGCATCTCTGGTGCTGCAACCTGGCCTGCAACTCCATGCCCAGCCATGGGTAATGCCCACCCATCTCTCTGGTGCTGCTGGGTGACACCAGGGCTCCTGGGTGACATTGGGGTGGGAGGTCCATCTGGTGGCTGCAGCCCAGCCTGCACCCTGGGGAAGGCAGAGGCAGGCACACAGCACCGCCATGTCCAGGTTCTCGGTGCTGCCAGCACCGTGCCACGCCACGCTGAGCGAGCCAAGCCACGGAAGATGGCGGCATGTGGCACTGGACATCGCCGAGCCACAGCAGGCCACGTTCAGCTGTGCCAGGCCCATCAAAACTGAACCCCACCACGCCGTGCCGGCCCGTGCCAAGCCACGCTGTGCCGTTGGCGGGCGCGGGGGACGTGCCCCCTCTTGCCTGTGGAGGGGCGGCGCGGCCGGCGGCCCCCGGCGCAGGGGCCCATCCCCGCGCCGGCCGCTCCCTGCGCTTGGGCGGCCGCCAGCTGGGGCTGCCTCGGCAGGCGGCTGGGAACGGCCCCGGAGCAACCGGCTGTGGAGCCGCCCCAGCCGCTGCCGAGCAGGCCCGACCGGCAGGGCAGGCGGCAGCCGCCCCTGAAACTGGGAGCCGGGCAGTGCCGACCGCCTGGGATGACGGCGTCAGTGCCAAGCGCCCATGGCTGCCCCTCTCCATCCTCACCAGGAGCCCATCCTGCTGCAGGCTGGGGTCCCTGCTGCTGGCCAGGGCGGGGGTGAGCGGATTAGGGGTGATTAAGCCATCAGAGCCCCGGGAGCCAACAGGCAGCGACAGCCCCCGGTGGGATTAGGCAGGATTAGCAGCGGGGGAAGGATTAGGGGAGGCAAGCGCCCCACGCCAAGGCTCAGGTGGCTGGAGGGGGACGATGGGGATGTGGTGCCCACCAAGGGTGGCCTGGAGCCCTGCGGATGCCCAGGGCTGTCACAGGTAGTGGTCCCGGGATGGGGTGGCAGCACCTGTATCCTCCATTGCTGCCTCCCCCAGCTAAACCCCAATGGCAGCAGGATGGACCCCTCTGTCCCCCGGTCCCCACAGCGCCCCCGGCTCCACAAGACACCCAGGCACGGGGCGCTCAGAGGGCTCTCCCTGCCTGCAGGGCCATGGCCAGAACCCGCCAGCATGTGCCTGTCTGGGGGCTCCTGCACCAGGGGGTGCCCGGGCCGAGTGCAGCAGCCAAGGCCCTAGCC